CCTGCTGCTTGGTCAAATCCACAGCAAAGCTTCGAGAACAAAGCCAGTTGCTTAAAATGGCTTAAACTGCAAACAGGGAAGCCATCTTGAGTGGGAAAAGCTTTGTTCCCCGCAGCTTAGTTATCTTTGGGCATGATTGCCTTTCCTTAGTGGGAAATGTTGCCACTCCCCTCCACCCCCCGTGCACAAAGCCTTGCCTTGTTCTTGCAGCATTTCTCAGGGACAGAAGCCCTGTTTTCCTCCTCGTTCCATCTCCTGTGACCAGATGAATGCTCCGTGCTAAGAGGCTGTGTGAATGTAGGCGCAGTTATTGTTGTGACCTCTGAAACCACGTGCGGCAGCTCAGTCATTCCTTCTTTGACACTCCCTCCAGGAGACCTGTGCTTATACTGTGAGGTCTGGTTTGACTCCGGTATTTTCCAGAAAGTATGCCCTCTCTCCACTGACTCTGAAGGCTGAGGTCAACTGGGCCCCTTCCCCAGGGGAAAGAGTATGGCCTTATATCTCAGTGGAATCTACTTTGTGCCAGCTAATTGTTGTTACTGTCCTGTCCTGGCACATCACCCCGGCTCTCACCAGAGCATGGCCTGCCGTAGTATAGCAGTTCAAACTGTAGGCAGCCATGCCTTGGAATCTGCACATCTGGACACTGAACTAGGGCCAGGGGCCACAGACATTCCTACCTCACTCGTCTCAGCCTGCCCAATGTCACTCTCCCCCGCCAGGCACAGAAGCCAATCCTTAATCGGGGCTGCCTGGACTCACCTGTAGCTCCAGGTGAATTGACTCCACTGCAGGTGGGGTAGGTCACTTCTGGCCGCAGCCTGGGCAGGCCAGGACGAGTGGGCAGGATGATGGCAAAAACACCTCGGTGGAGTCCTTAATCACCAAGACATATGTCCCTGGCTGCTGCTTGGAGGAGGGAACCTCAGGTCCTCCCAGGCCACCATGAGATGGTGTATTGTCGGGAGCCAATGTCCCTGACATCCTGTTTGGTAATAATCCATTACATTCCCTAGATTCCTACCATGGAGGGCTGCTGGGGAATTCAGTCGATAGCCCCGCTTCCAACTCTTATGCTCCATTTGTCTTTGGAGCAATTGTAGCCTCTGCGAAACATCTGCCCACGAACCTCACTGTCGTGAGCCATGTGATTCTGATTCTGACCGTGAGTCTGCGCACACTTAGAAGGAGACACCGGTGGGGCCTCCTTCCCCAATTTTCTTTTCCTTTGTGACCCTTCCAAGTCAGTGTTGGGAGGGAACACCATGTTGAGTGGTAGGGGCTTTTATTTTTGTCGCAGTATTGAAGTTAATGCTCTCTAAAGTGGTAAGAAGTGGATGCTAAGATTCCCGGTTTACAGAGGAGACTGAAGTCTAGAGAGGTTGTCTGACTTGCCTAAGGTCAAGGAGTTATAGACTGACGACATAGGATTTGGACTCAGTCTTGTGACTCTGCTGGACCAGAAGAAACAGTGGCCTGGAGTTGGTTCATTCTGAGTCAGAGCTCAATGCTTGTCAGGCAGGTGAGAGCAGGTGGCAGTTACGCAATAGAAAAGCACACTGAATGTTGAATGAGAAGATCAGGGTTGAGGTGGACATTGTACCGTAGTAGGTTAAACCTCTGCTTCAGACACAAACATCTCATAGCAAAGTGCCAGTTCTTGTCCTTCCTACTCTACACTTACAATCCAGTTTCCTGCTAGTGTACCTGGGAAGACAGAACAAGATGGTTCAAGAATATACGTCCCTGACACCCACATGGAAGACCTGGATAGAAGTGCTGGCTTTGGTCTGTCCCAACCCTGGCTATTTCAGGCTTCTGCTGAGTGAATCAGCAGATGAACGATCAGATTTGTAGTCTCAGTTGGGACACTTAATTCTGTGTGACTATGAACCTCACTCTGCCCGGTACACCCATATGGAGAGTCCCCTTGCCCCCACAGGATTTCACCCCACCTTTTGGGGATGGAGCCTCAGGTGTGTTAGTTGACTCCAGCAGGCATCCTGGGGTGAGAATAACTGAGCTCCCTCATTTCTCTTTGCACATCACAAACTTTACGTGTGTAAATCACCTGAGCATCTTGCTGAATGTAGCTTCTGATTGGGTGGTCTGGGGCTCAGCCTAGGACTCTGCATTCCTAACAAACCCCCTGATGACGTTGATGCTGCTGATTCAGAACCACACTTGAGAGCTCGGCTAAAGTAGCCTAGTGGCTAAAGTCTTCACCTTGCATGCTTCAGGATCCCATATGGGTACCGGTTTGGGTCCTGGCTGTTCCACTTCCTATCCAACTTCTTGCTTGTGGCCTGGGAAAGCAGCAGAGGATGGCCCAAAGCCTTGAGACCCTGTACCCATGTGGGAGGCTCTAGGCTTCTGCCTTCCGATTGGCTTAGCTCCAGCCATTGCAGCCACTTGGGGAGTGAGCCAGTGGCTGGAAGATCTTTCTGTCTCTCCTTCACTCTGTGAATCTGACTTTCCAATACAATAATTATATATATATATATACACACATATACATATATATATGAAACAAACCGCACTTGAGGCAGCAAGGGAGCTGGAGGGCATCTGTTGGGAATGAAAGAACTTGGCACCTGCCCCTGTGAGCTGCTTCCCTTTCTGCCAGCCCTGGCCAAGATGGCTATCAAGCCTCAGGGTAGGGGAGCAGGCAGCCTGTCATGCTGCCGTGGGTTTTGTGGCTTGGGCAGATGGCGGAGATGTGTTGGCCTCAGGACTTTTCAGGCTGTACTCTCCCAGCAGCTTCAAGTGGAGAGAGGAGACCAAAAACAAAAGAGGATAAAGTGTATCTCGCCTTTCCGTCTCTTCCTCATTGTCTTAACTCCTTCCATGAGTGACTGAGGGCTATAGTGAAATTTCAAGGGTGTGTTCCCAGCATGCAGACCTGTATCTAGGGGGGTTGGCTTTCCTGACTGGAGTGGCCAACCCAGATGTGCAACTGTTTGAGGGTCGCCAGCACCCTTCACGGTCACTGCTGTGGAAAATCTGACCTAGTCCATCTTTGGGGTACCTGCTTTTTGGTCGGGATGCAAAAGCAGAGCCGGCTGCTGGGAAGGGCACTGAGAACTGGGAAAGAGCTTCTACCAGGAGTGTGGCAGGAACAGGGGACAGGGAAGTAACCATGCAGCCCTGTCAGCTGCCTTGACAGCGGAAACCCTTTGTTGAGATGCTCCCAGGGGACCTCTGTGCAGGTCCTTTCCGGGCTAGTCTCATCAGCCAGGCCACCATTGACCCAGAGACCTGGCACCATTCTCAGGCCTGCATCGCCCCCTGCCAGACAAACTAGGGTACTACTAGCAGAGCTCATATACTGCGGGGCCTCTCCTGCTTATTCTGAAATCTCTTTCCTAAGGAAGTTATAACATCACTCTCTTCCTCCCTCCTACCCGCCCCTTACTCACACACACGTGAGCACGCAGATGCCTGTAGAGATTAATCCTCAAAGATTGGGCCCTTGAGCCAACTTGGCTACAGCTACATTACAGTAGCCATGCTAGGGTGGACCCCGACCTTGTGGATGAGCTCATGGAATTGCACAGCTGTCCACCCCTGTAGTGTCTTCAAAGCCCTCAGCGGCTCCAGGGGCTCCAGAGCCTTCTTCCCTTCAGATCCTCATCAAGGCATGAGCCTTTAGTAGCCTATTCCTTCTGCCTGATTCCCACCTCCCTACCACTCTCCTTTCCCTTGTCTACTTAGCCAGCATCACATCCTTTGACATATCAATCCTAGCTGCCAGGATCTTATACTGGATCTTTTTATGGGTGAGCACCAGGAAAGGAGGGCTCTTTTTGTCTTGGAAAATCATGGCATTCTCTTTGGAGGTCTCTGGTTAGGATGGCCAGGTGGGACCAATGGCCACAGATGCAGAGGAAATGGAGGAAATGTTGGGGGCGGGACTCCATGGTCAGAGCAGCTTGGCTGAGGCCACCTGCCATCCCTTGCCAACCCTGAAATGACAGGGCCTATGGTCCTAACTCCATTGATCCTTAGTTCCATCTGGCCACCTGTCCAGTCCCAGGATTTTGCCACTGACAGCTTACTCTGGCCAGCAGAATCTTTTGTGTGGCTTTAGTCCAGCTATACATTACCACTGAGGTTGATGGCACTGCCCAGCTCTGTCCTAGGCAGTTTCAGAGCAGAGGCAGCAGACTGACCCAGCCTTTGCCCTCCAAGAATCCCACAAGCCAACACTGTGTCAGCATAATGTTCAGTATTATGCCATCAATTGGCCGATCCACCCAAGGAGAATTGGGACAGCTCTGCGGAGGAGGTGGTCGCTCTGGGGAGGGAAGCCTGCATCTTGAACAGTCAAAGGGGAACCAGAGCCCTGGAAAAGCTGTGCCCAAAGAAGAAGAAACCCCAAGTAGAGTTGGACTGAGATTACACTCTGAACTACAGCTGCTGCTTAGGTCAACTGCTGGACCGGACAAATCATCTGCTTTCTGAGCCTATTTGTGTGTTTGTACAATGGGGCACGTGCAGACTGCTTTGCAGGTTTATTGTGTGTGTTAAAGGAGATTTGGCCATCTAAGTGCGGTGTAATATAAGGTGTGAAGATGGCAAGAGAATAGCAATAAACTTTGCTAAACACCTTACATCTCTTGACTGCTCAAGGATGGTTTGGGTTTGCTCAGTTTCCCCATGGGAGGCTGAGGGTGGAGGTCGAGACCATGCCTTCCAATGGTAATGGTACTCTTTATTCCTGGCAGTGGCCCCTAGTGATGGATTTCATCCCCAGGAAAAGGGCGGAAGAGTGGGAAAGGCTTAGCATAGGTAGGTAGTGAGACTCCAGAAAGCAGTTTGCCAGGATAGACTTGGGCTTGGGAAGTGAGCTGGGCACATGTGCCAGCCCCTTAAGTACCACTCTTGCCATTTCTGGATCCCTTGAAGTAGAGGCTGTCCACTGTTGGAAGGTAGCAGTGGAGCTTGGTGCCAGCACCCTACTAACCCCATATTTCTCTCCCTTCATTGTGTTTCAGAAACTGAGGCCAAAAGAGCATGTGAATGGCTTCGCGCCACAGGATTCCCACAGTATGCTCAGCTTTTTGAAGGTAAGGCCACTCTATCGTGGGCCCTCTTGGATCCTGAAGCCTTCTGATCCTTCAGGTTCTCATCTCTAAAGCAAGGCAGCATCTGATCCTATCTCCAGTTGACACAAGAAACTGTGCATCCTGGCCTTCACTTTCAGGGGCTTAGCTCCTACAGCTGTCACCCTCCCTCTACTGGCAGATTCCCAACAACCTTGGGTGTTACTTCTGGCTTGGAGAACCTTGACTCTATCCTGGCGTGAGCATTCAGCCAGAGCTCCTGAGGGTACAATGTGGACGGTGCCCCCTGGTGTCGTGCACATTGGTGGCCCTACCCTGATACTGCTTGACAACTTATTGCTCTATCATCCTTCCTTTCTCTTCCTTGTTTTTTTCTTGAGCATCATGCTAGGTGTTCCTACTTTGTCCTCTTCTCCCCACATCCCCACTGCACCTTGGCCTCACCCTTCCTTCAGCTTGTCAAGCCCACCAGTGACTTCCATGTGGTCGAATTCTGAGGTCACTTTCAAGTCCTCATCTTGCTACCCCTCTCACAGGCATTACGTTCGTCACTCTTTCAGCTCCCAGAGCACCGCCCCCCTCTCCTGGATGCCTCTCTGGCTGCTGCCTTGGTCTCCTTAGCTGACTCAGCATCCTCTAATATCTAAATGAACATAGGGGGTTCCCATGTTCAACCTGGGCCTTCTTGTCTCTCAGCACTTCCTTCCCATGAGGTTCTTGTCTAAGCGCATCTACATTCTGAGGATCCACAAATGCCACTTTCCAGACCTGCTTCCCAAACTCCCGATTCATCTCTTCAGCTCCCAATTCAGTATCGCTAGTCAGATGTCTGATAGCCAGAATCTATGAGAGCTCACAAGTGTAAAACCAAACTCCTGACGGAGGGCCCCAGTATGTATCCGTTTATGTCAAACCCTGTATCCAAGAATCTTCTTAAATTGATCTTTTCCCTTGTCCCCTATATCTAACCCTCAGCGAGTCCTTTCTCTTTCCAGAATGTGTGTGTGTGTGTGTGTGTGTGTGTGTGTGTGTATAAATGTTTTGACTTATTTGAAATTCAGAGTTTTAGAGAGAGAGAGAGAGAGAGATTGATTTTCTATCTGCTGGTTCACCCCCAAGGTGGGCCAGGCTGAAGTCAGGAGCCAGGAGCTTCTTCCAGGTCTCCCATTTGAGTACAAGGGCCCAAGCACTTGGGCCACCTTCTGCTACATTTTCCAGGCCACAAACAGGGAGCTGGATGGGAAGTGGAGCAGCCAGGACACGGACAAGTGCCCATATGGGCTGCTGGTGCTGCAGGCAGTAGCCTTAGCCTTAGCCGTTATGTCATGATGCTGACTAGATCTACTTCCTATTGCCTCCATCACCACCTATGGTGTGGCCCATCATCCCTGTTTGCCTGAGCTAGTGCACCAGCTGCCTGATCTCCTTTCACTTTTGCCCTCCCATAGTGTTGTCTCCATGCTGCAGCTGGAGAGCTCCTGTGCTCATAGACCAGCCTGTGACTATGTCCCTCCACTGCTCCAAACATTCTCACGGCTTCTCAGCATGCTCAAGCGCAATATGTGCAAGTACGGTGCCTCAGCAGACCATGTGACCCAACCTCTGCTCATTATGCTCCCCTTTGCTCACCTCCCTCTGAGACGCCTGTCTACTTGCTTACACTATCTTTGCCCTCCTTAGAGCAAAGACACTGGTGGGCCCGCTGCCTGGAAGTCTCTTGTGTCTCTGCTCAGCTGTCGTTTTCCCATTTGGGGGGATCCAGCTCTGAAGGCTCAGAAAGATCTTTGCTGACCACGACCCCACCTCTCCAGCTTCTCTCTGTCCTATCTCATCCCATACTCCTATGCCATGGCCCTGGCAGATGTCTTTGATGGCATCTATAACTGCATTGTCTTTGTTTCATGTGTTGTTTTTTGTCTGTTTCCTGTAAGAATGTAGACTCCATGAAAGGAGGAACCATTCTTGACTTCACTATTGCATGTCTGATGCAATCACCTGACACAAAGTAGGTGCTCAATTAATATTCCTTGTGTGACTACGTGAGGAATGGGCTCGTTTTGCAGTAAGATAAGAGAGCTGTGAGACTGCTTAGAGTCTCTGTTCCTTTCCTCTGACTCCTTTCTCTTTTTCCCACCAGGGAGTGGGCTCTGCTTGCTGCTCCGAGCAATGGGAGGAAGTGAGGTGTTACTTGGCTTTCCTGTTACCCTTCGTTACTGTCTTTTCTATGCTTGCTCCTTCCCTACTGCTACCAGTTCTCCTTAGGCTTGAAGGAAGGTGTCTGAGCATCCCAGGTCTCAAGTGCACTATTAGAATCCAGGTTGGCTCCCGGTTGCCATCCAGGATGGTAGACCTCCTGTCCTTCATGGACCTGCCTCACTGATTGTTGGGGACCTCTGGCTCAGCTCAACCTTCCAGGCCTACCCAGCCTCTCCTGACACCTCCCCTGAGCTTCCCAGGCCCCCCTTCTTTACTCCTGGGTTTTTGCTTCTGCTTTGGTTCTTGTCTTCCTGCATCCTCTCTCCCTTAGCCTTTCCCCTCTACCTTGCAGCTCAGGTTGCTGGGGCTGAGTTTCTGATCTACCACTGGGCTCATCGCTGTTTCTCTCTCTGCCACACAGAAGGCTCATTTCCCCTGGATATTGACTCTGTGAAGAAGGACCACGGTTTTCTGGACGAGGACTCTTTGGGGGCCCTGTGCAGGTAGGGTGGGGGCTGGGAACTAGGCCTAGGAAACCAAGAGCCCAGCTTGGGACCTCCTCATGGGAAAACCAATCCCTGTACCTTCTAAGAGCGAAGGAGGCCAGCTCACTCATGAGACTCATTTTCTGAATTCATATGCCCATTCCAGTTTTTTTTTGTCTGTGACACCCTCACCCATTCACTCTGAAAGCCAAGATTTAGCCTTCATTCTTCCTTTAAGTGATACTCCCACATATTCCTCTGATTCTGTCTTTCTCTGCTTAAACTGGCTCAACCCTTGTTGATGCCAAACCATGACTTCTCAGGTCTATTAAAGTAGCTTTCTAACCGGTTTTGGTCTCTATATTCCACACTCCCCTGCTCCCCAACCCGACCCATCTCTGGATCCTTCTGATCTGCAGCCTCCAGAGTCAGCCTGGTAAAGCTCCCAATGGTGTGTGCTCCTTTGCCACTGGCTACAGGAGTAAAGGGCGAGCTTTCTTAGCCTGACCCCTGAGGCCATGTGCAGTGTGGCTTTTGACATGCCTGTCAGCCTTAGACCCACCCTCTTACACCCACATGCCTCTGTTTACTGCTTCCCTCTGTCTTGTCTGCTAGCAATTGGGACAAAACTCCCTCTTTCTATCACCCTCAGACTATCAGTTCCATCCTCTGGAAAGCCTTGTCTGATTGGCCTCTCCTCCCTTCGTGAAAGTTCTTTGCCTTATGAAAATTCTCTGCCTCCTTCTCTGTGTGTCTTCCATCCATGCCTTTTTCTACTCTCTGTTTCCAGACCGTCTCATTTCTGTAGTGAATTATTCCCATATCTCCAGCCTCCTGGGGGACACAGGCCCTAATCTTCCCAGCATCATTTGTGGCACTGAGATGTTCATGCACACTGGAGCATTGGTAGGGGACGGGCGCTTGACAGAGGTTTTGATGGCACAGGGCTAAGAAGTGGTGGATAGCACCTTGGAAGTGTCTTGGTAGGCTGTGCCAGGCTCTGGAGGTTGAGATCTTTAAGTAAACACTTTGATTTTGTTGCAGGAGGCTGATGACCTTGAACAATTGTGCCTCGATGAAACTGGAGGTCCATTTTCAATGCAAGCAGGTAAGTCACAGCAAGTAGAGGGCTATGGCACCGGGGGGAGACTCAGGACATACATCAAACTCTCATGAAACCAGCTCCAGCATCACAGTGTCATAGTTATTGGCAGTGTCCAGAGTAGCGCCTTGCACCAACCTATACATGAGGGCAATAGGGAACCCCCCTTACATTGCAAACTCATGGCTTTTGATCTACAGGTTAGCATGTGAGAGCAAGTGCACGGGTCTGTGGCCTCACCACTGCCTCCTCTACCTTGTGATATGCCACACACACACATGCACACGCGCACACACACACATGCACGCACACTCACACACTCCCTCTCCTGGGTTTACCAATAATTTTGCCTGTTGATGACCTGTCATCAGAGAAATCCATTTTTCTCCAGTGCTTGCTATGTGACAGCTGAAGTTCCTTGAATAGGAAGCAGAGACAGAATGATATGATGATCTTGAAAGTCAGGATTCCAGCCTCACCCCCTGGGAGGGCCCACCTCTGCTGAATCTCATTTCCTCATCTCTACAAGGAATTGGGAGGGGATTGAACTAATGGCCTCCAAAGGTCCTGTATCTCTCTGCCCTTTGGAGAAGGCAAACCATGAGGACTCTTGGTCTTTGTATGTTCTTGGAATGCAGGCCCAGCCACCCCGTCCTTTCCTGGGGATAACCTTTGTTGCCTTTCTCTGGAGTTTTCTATACCAGAGAGATTAGCAGTCAGCTAGGGCAGCCCAAGTGATCATAGCCCTGGCCTGGGAGATAGAAAACGCACAGGGCTTGGTTTCACTATGTCATTGGCTGCTGAGTGACCTCAGGCAAGCTTCTGCCTCTCTTTGGGCCTCAGCTATCCCGTGTAGCAAAGGAGGAGATGAATTAGAGAATCTCAAGTCCCCTCCAGCCTTGACGTCCTATGACTGCAATCTCAGATTGTAGCCTAGAGATCTGGGATGCTTTCTCGTTGACTTAACTGCCACTGTATGTCCTTGGGTAGGTGACTACTTATTTGTAGGTTTCAGTGTCCCTCTTTGTGAAATGAGAATGAGCTACATTATTTGGCCGTTACCTTACATCTTGGCTCTGTGACTCCTGGCTTAAAGCCAGCTCCCTCTCAGGTCTCTTCAAAAGTGTCCCAAGTGTTAGGGGTGGAGTGGAGCAGGAACTTAAAGGAAGGAACTTAAAGGATGGTGCCTCTCTCTGACCTCCCATGGTGCTCTCTCCAGAATGAAGACTCTGAAGAGGAGGAACAGTGTACCATCAGCAACCACTGGACCTTCCAGCGTGAAAGCAAGCGCTGGTCTCGCGTAGGTTCCTCTGACCTTCTGGCCCCACCAAGCCCCAGCCTGCCTGTCACCTCTAGCTGTGAGAGTGTTCTCACTGAGCTGAGTGCCAACTCTCTGCCAGTCATCACCGTGAGTGTACCGCCTGAGCCAGGAGAGCTACCCTCACTGGGCCATGCCTCCAGTGCAAGTGACCAGCCCCTCTTGAACATTAGCCATGGCCATGAGGGGTCCCAGGACAAAGTCAAGAAGCACCGTTCTCGGAGTTTCCTCAAGCACCTGAAGAGAAAGGACAAGGGTGGCGGGCAGCAAGCAGAGCCTGAGCGTGGCCTGGCCATGCCTGAGAAGACCTCCAAAACCTCATCTTTCCGAAGTGGTCGGGGCTTCCTGTCAGGTGGATTTTACAAAGCCAAGGACCGAGCAACTAGTTCTGCCAGCCGCAGTGGTGCTGAGACTCGGAGGGCCTGGGACATCTGGCCTGTGGCCACACTGCGGCATCCTCAGCGCAGACGCTGGGGTGACTGCCTGGTACATGTACCCAGGGACCATAAACCAGGGACATTCCCTCGCTCCCTGTCCATTGAAAGCCTGTGTCTTGAGGATGGGCACCGCCTGGCAGATTGGCAGCCAGGTAGGTGCTGGGGTTATGAAGGGCGCCGTGGCTCCTGTGGCTCAACGGGCAGCCATGCCAGCACCTATGACAATTTACCCGAGCTGTATCCACCAGAGCCTGTGTCAGCTGCGGCTGAGACTGAAGATGAAGACACTGAAGGAAGTTATGCCCACTTAGATGACATCCTCCAGCATGTGTGGGGGCTACAGCAACGGGTGGAGCTCTGGTCTCAGGCCATGTACCCAGACATGCGGCCTGCAGAGAAGGAAGAGGAAGAGGATGAGGAAGAAGAGGAAGAGGCCAGTTCACCAGTGGAAATAGCTACGGCTGAGGCTGAAGGCCAGGCTGAGGCTGAGGCCCAGGGAAGCTCCTCAGCGTGGATCCAGAGTGAAGTCCAGCTAGTAGTACCAGCTCAGATCCAGGCTCCAGCTGAAGCAGAACCATTGGCACAGGCAGAGGCCGAAGCCCCAGTCTCAGTCCCAGTCTTGGCTCCAGTGTTGGCCCCAGCCCCGGCCCCAGCCTCTGCTGTGATCCCAGCTGAGAACAATGAACAAGAAGCAAATTCAGGTGGGGAGCCCACCTCTGCCTCCAGCCTCTCTGTGGAAGGACATTCCATTTCTGACACTGTGGGCTCCTCCAGTGAACTTGACAGTAGCAGAAATTCTGTGAGTGAGGCTGAGGCTTCAGGATCCCTTGCTGGACTGCAGGCCTCAGCACCTCGTGAACGGCGTGATTCCGGCGTGGGGGCCTCACTGACCAGACCCTGCAGGTAGGAGCTCTACATAGGGGTGGGTAGTGGGGATCTATATCTGGCTCTCTCTTTCTCTTTCTGAATCTGAATTGTTAGTCATGAGACCCAGGGGCAGCTCCCTGGGTCTCCCTGGTGGTTACCTCCGGGCAGCCACTCCCAGGAGAGAAATGCAAAGAATATAGAACTTGGGCACCCAGGATATATTAAGAAAATAATAGCTCTTCTTTGGGCTTTGATTTCTGCATCAAATAAAGTAAGAGTATTACAGGAATTGGCCTTTGACTTCCCCTCTCCCCAATCTTCACCCGCCCCACAGCTTTGCAGTCAAGGTTTCCTGGAGCAGGTGGGGAGTAGGTGCTGCTTGTGGCCACTGGATGGGTCTGAGCTCTGTGCCTCCCTCCCAGAAAGCTTCTTGGCCCCTGAGCAGACCTGGAGACCGAGATTAAGCTTTCCCCGTCTCAGGCTTCAGGCAAGGCACGGAAAGTAGTAGTCTCTTCTAGCAACCAAACTATAGTTTTTCCTAAGGCCTAGCCAAACCTACTCCTCTGGCCCTCCCCCCCTTCCCCATTCCAACCAGAAAGCTCCGTTGGCACAGCTTCCAGAACTCCCACCGTCCCAGCCTCAACTCGGAGTCTCTGGAGATCAACCGGCAGTTTGCGGGGCAGATCAACCTGCTGCACAAAGGCTCACTGCTGCGGCTCACTGCCTTCATGGAGAAGTACACCGTGCCCCACAAGCATGGCTGGGTCTGGTAAGTGCCCCCCTTGGTCCATGAGGGGTGAGGGTGGTGGTACAAAGCTGTTCCCTCAGGGAGATGGGCCCTGAAGGTGGATACAGGCAAGCAGAGCCTGATAGGTCAGTGGATTGGTGTGATATGCCAAGTGGCTGGAGTGGGTGTGTCAGGGGCGTTGGGTGGGGAACCCCTGTGATGCAGCTGTACCTCCTCCATGCCAGCCTTACCAATCAGACTGGCTTACATATGTGCAGCTTTGGTTGTCGTTGTCATGTTGAGCACCCTCCTATGGCTCCCCATGGTGCAGAACATGTCCCTTCATGATCCCTTCATATTCTGGTTTTGCTTTCCCTTTCTGGTTCCCAAGCCACCGACTGCAAAGCAATGCCAGTCTCTGGCCAAAGGAACTAAGTCCCTCTTGCTGTGGCTGAGCTGTGCTTTACCCTGCTTCTTTGCCTGTGTTCAGTCTACTGAACTTGACCTGCCTGCAGTGCCTTTTGTCCATTTCTTTTTCCTGTCCCCCGGGACCCTGCTGACTTCCAGCCTCCTTCCTGAAGCCTTCCCTCAGCTGCTACGTACTGTTCTTACCTGCCACTGGCCTTGCCCTGTATTCCTGGCCTGCTACTGTCCATGAATGGTCTGTGTCATTGACATAGTTAGCTCCTTGACCACACTGAGAGCTCTCCAAGGCTTTCTGTGTCTTCTAGTGCTAGGCCCAGAGCTGGCGCTCAGTGAGTGTTGACCTTGGGGATAAGATGTGTTCCTTCCCACCAGCACCGTCACCCCCACCATGAGACCCCAGATAGTCTCCACACTCTTTGCCCTGTCCCTGATTGCTCATCCCCACTACTGTCCAAAACAGGTCAGTTCCAAAGTTCATGAAAAGGAACAAGACCCCAGACTACCGGGGACAGCATGTATTTGGGGTGCCACCGCTCATCCATGTGCAGCGCACGGGCCAGCCACTGCCACAGAGCATTCAGCAAGCCATGCGCTACTTGCGCAGCCAGTGCCTGGACCAGGTGAGCGCTCCCTGGGGGAGCTTGTGCAGAGGTAGTGCTGGAGGGAGGGTAGTCCAAGGCCTTTGAGCTGGGGAGGGAGACTGCTGTGCCCCCCCCCACTAGGCTAGGGCATTTCACCAAAGACCTTTCCTGTTCTTAACAAGTGTGGCAAGATGAAGCCAATACTCCCTTCTCCTTAGGATTAGAGCCTTCCATCCAGCATCCTTCTGGCCCAGACTCTGCTGTTCCCATCTTCTAAGGAGCCTGCCCTAGTCAAGGACCAAATTTTCCTGGTTATCGCCACAAAAGCCATCTTTCTCTTGGGCCTCAAGGCTATAGAAGTCCTTGTTTTTGACTTTGCCATTTGTTTCCTACCTTGTCCAACAGGACACATGGCAGGTTTTGAAAGTCTCTGGGATCACCTACATTCCTGATGCCAAATCCAATACTGGCCTCATGGTCTCCCTTCTCTCTCCCTTCCCCACCAAATCCCTCTCCCTCCCCTATCTGGACCAGGTGGGCATCTTCCGCAAGTCTGGGGTCAAGTCCAGGATCCAGAACCTGCGCCAAATGAATGAGACTTCCCCTGACAATGTCTGCTATGACGGCCAATCAGCCTATGACGTGGCTGACCTGCTGAAGCAGTACTTTCGGGATCTACCTGAACCCATCTTCACCAGCAAGCTCACCACCACTTTTTTGCACATCTACCAGTGTGAGTCACCTGCACATACCTCCCTCCAACACCTGCCCCGTTCTCATCCTCCCTGAATACCATGGGTTGGGGATTGGGGAACTTTTAAACTTAGTGCTAGTCACTGTATCTGGTCTCATATGCTTGTTGGAACATTTATTGTCTGGAGTTGGAAATACTCTTAAAGACTGTATCTACTTCCAAATTCCATTTTATGGAAGCTACACTTACCTTAGTTCACACTGCATGATAATGACAGAAGTCAATCGAGGTCTCTGTCTTGTGGTTTTCTGCCTTGTGTTTTCTGCCTTCTTGGAAGACAAGGGACTTACTGCCAAAGGACCTGCAGAAGTAAGCACAGCCTTGCGCTAACTTTTTGTTGCTCATAGTGCTCCCCAAGGATCAGTGGCTGGCAGCTGCACAAGCCGCTACCTTGCTGCTCCCCGATGAGAACCGAGAGGTGTTGCAGACCCTGCTCTACTTCCTAAGTGACATTGCCTCAGCTGAGGAAAACCAGATGACAGCTGGCAACCTGGCAGTGTGCCTGGCACCCTCCATCTTCCACCTCAATGTCTCCAAGAAGGATAGCCCCTCACCCAGGTGAAATGGGGCAAGATGTGGCAGGGATTGGACCCTGAGGCTTTGGACCCAGTGAGATTCTTTTGGTTTTCAATGGTGGGCACTGATGGAGGGATTAGTCTGATCCAGAGGCCTGGGGTTGATTGGATGTTGGGGAGCCAGGTCTTCCACAAGGCAGCAGGCTGTTTCATTGTCAGCCATCTTATCTTATTCTCTTGTGCCATCCTCCCCTGTTGCCTTCTGCCTTTAGAATCAGGAGCAAACGCAGCCTGGTTGGCCGGCCAGGCCCTAGGGATCTGAGTGATAACATGGCTGCCACCCAGGGCCTATCACACATGATCAGTGACTGCAAGAAACTTTTCCAGGTGAGCTACCCCATGGGAAGCTCCATGACCCCCATACACCAAGTCAGGGGTAGAGTGCAACTTGACATAGATCCTTTAACCTCCTCATTCCCATCCCCACCCCTACCAACCTCGCCATATCCTTAACATACATCCCAGCAGCTCCTAGCGGTCTCTTGCTCTGCCAGAGCCCTAGACCAGTGTGTGTGTGCTTTCGCAGGTGCCCCAAGACATGGTGCTGCAACTGTGCAGCTCCTACAACGCGGCTGAACTCAGCCCTCCTGGCCCAGCGCTGGCGGAGCTGCGGCGGGCCCGAGCTGCTGGGGTGAGCCTCAGCCTCTACATGGAGGAAAGCATTCAGGAGCTGCTGCGTGATGCCGCGGAGCGCTTCAAGGGTTGGATGAGCGTGCCAGGGCCTCAGCAGACAGAACTGGCGTGTAGAAAGGTGGGTACCACGCCACTCAGGGATTTTTTTTCATGGGGTTGGGAAAAGGCATGGTGCAGGCAAGAGAACCCAAAGAAAGGAGCCACCCAACCAGTCTTGCCAGGCCTGAGCTTGTTGGCCTGGAGAAGGTCAGCCAGCTGGGCAAGTGCCTGAAGGAGTCAAGAGCAAAGTGAATCCCAAGGGATCTTTCTCAGGAACCACCTGACCAAATGCCCCCTCCAGATTTCTCACTACTTTCCTGGCCTCCACCCCCATATTCCTACTCAGCAGTCTGCAAGCTAAACTTACATTTTGCTTGTATTCATGCTTTCCTATTAGCTGACCTGCCCTGTTCCCAAGCATGACATTTCCTAAGCCACCCGCAGCTCCATGGTAATGTGCTCCTACCTGTGTTCAGGGCTTTCTGTCACACCCCAGGCTCCAGGGGATTCCTCTGACCCCCCTCCTTGGCTCTGGCCATCTCTCTCATGGCTGCCAGTTGTCAGTCGGATGGCAAGTGTGAAGGGTCCCATGTATAAAAGTGCCACAACCAAACCTCTCCTCCAGCATCAACGTATAGGTAAGGGAGTGGGAGGATGGAGGAAACTGCCCAGTGCCTGGACTCTATGAATGATGGGTTTTGTGTCACTTCTCTTGCAAGTTGGCCAGTTTCTTAAGGATGTTCACCATCTTCCCTTCTAAAAACTCCCTTGCAGAGATTCCAAAAATACCATGCCTGGGCATTGGTAGGGCCCAACAGGCCTCGGAGAACAGAAGCCTGTTATCTCTTTTTGCTCTCAAGCAGGCTGAGAGGAAGGCAGCCAGTAGGAGGCTGGGGAGTAAGGAGCACAAGGCCAGCAGAAGAGTCTGGCAGCTTTCCCCACTCAGGGGCTGCCATGAGGGGAGCCCCAGGCCCTGCAATTGGAGTTTTGGACTGAGGGCATGGATCTGGAGTTCTCCAGCCCTGACACTTCCCCCTGTTCCCACCCCTGTGGCTCGCAGGCACCAGACGGGCACCCTCTGCGTATGTGGAAGGCATCCACAGAAGTGGCTGCCCCCCCAGCTGTGGTGTTACATCGCGTCCTGCGGGAGCGGGCCCTTTGGGATGAGGACCTGCTGCGAGCCCAGGTGCTGGAAGCCTTGATGCCAGGGGTGGAGCTGTACCACTACGTCACCGATAGCATGGCACCGCATCCCTGCCGCGACTTTGTGGTGCTCCGGTGAGGGGCTGCTGGGGTGGTGGGTCAGGGAAGTGGGATGGGACCCACCGCTCAGAATGTGAATGTGAATGTCTTTTGCACCCACCAGGATGTGGCGCTCTGACCTGCCTCGTGGCGGTTGCCTGCTTGTCTCGCAGTCCTTGGATCCTGAACAACCCGTGCCAGAGTCAGGAGTGCGAGCCCTCATGCTCACTTCCCAGTATCTCATGGAGCCCTGTGGCTTGGGCCGTTCGCGCCTCACTCACATCTGTCGTGCCGACCTCAGGTATCAAGGTTGGGATGGCCTGCCCCCACTCCCTGCTATGATGTTGACCCTTCGCGCTGCCCCTGCGTCACTGTCCTCTGGGATTGGGAGTGAGTCATTTCTTCCCCTTACTTGAGAGCCCCAGGGAGAAATGTGTTACTCACGTCTGGTTTCTACTCCCCAGGGGCCGTTCTCCTGACTGGTACAACAAAGTCTTCGGGCACTTATGTGCCATGGAAGTGGCGAAGATCCGGGACTCCTTCCCTACTCTGCAGGCGGCTGGCCCTGAGACAAAGCTGTGAGCTTTGCGCTGGAAACCATACAGGTCCCTGGCACCAAGAGAGTGACAGGGAGTAAGAGCAGGTGTCTCCCCATTTGTTCCGAAGGTTCCTCTATATGCACAAGGGAGGCAAGGACAATATAGGTGTCCTACCACCACTCCACCTTCATCCCCAGCCAGCACTGTATGCTATGCTACTCTCCTGAGAGAGGAGAGCCCTGTTGATAGCAAGAATACCACTGCTGCCTGCCACCTGCCCCTGAAACCACCTCACAAACTGAACAATCAACCCTGCCCACCATGCACAGGGAGGAGGATGGAGAGGAAAGGAGAGAGAGGAAAGGAAAGGAGAGGAGAGGAGGAGGTGGAGAAAGGGAGAGGAGAGAACAAGAGAGGAGAGGACAGGAGAGGAACAAGGCAGCCCTACTCACTCTTAGACTGACAGGCCAAGCCATTCTATTTGGTGCTAGGGTGGTCCTCTTGAAGTTGGATCAGGAAGGTTCTGGTCCTTCCTTTGGGGCCTACATTGGTCCTGAAGTGCTTTTCCAAAGAAAATGGATTTGAGGCCATGGGCATGTGGTGGAGCACAGAGCAGCCCCAACCACAACCATCTGTTTTGTTTGTGCATAAATACGATGCTGATTTTTATGAGGCTGATGTAGAGGGGATAGTAACTGGCCCCTGGTAGGTGACATGACGATTTGGGACAGCTTGGGATTGCAGAATGGGAACTATCATTTCTCAAGTCTCAAGAAACCCATGAACCAGTCTCCCCCTGGCTTGAGCTCCACGTTTTATCTGTCACTCTCTAGGGTCCCTGGTAGCGTTTGGCCACCCACTACCATGTGTGAAGAACAAACAGGCTCATCCCTACCACACAGTATAGGCAAAAGCTAGTAGTGGCGAGAAGGCAAGTGTCTTAAGATCTCACCTCTTTGGCACACGATAGTAGGTTCACATAGCAGCCCCATCATTAATCAGTGACCTGGCTTCTGGGCCAGCCAGAGAGGAGGATCTGTCTTAGCCAGCTGGGGCTTGATCCAAGCCTGATCTGTCACATGCACATATGCTGCTGCCATCTTTGTTCATATCACAATTTAAATGGCATTCAAAGGGCAACCAGTTTTTTGTCTTTCTGCCAAATAAACTGTATCGGGATGGGTCTTAGCCACCACCGTACTTTTAAGCCAATTTTATGTGTACCTATAAATATTGTACAGTAAGGATGTGTATTTGCATGTGTTTATGGACATATATACACACACATACATACAGGGATGTAGTCTTGTGTGAGTGTATTATAATCTCTTGGTGGGAGTGCGGGTCTGAAAGGTCACAGAGGGCATGGCACTTTCTACAAGAGGAGAGAGACGGAGAGCAGGTTACAGCAAGAACCTTTCACAGAATAATAAAGCATTACTAAAGATGCACTCTGGCTGTGTGACTGTCTTTCTGTTGGGACAAGAAGCTGGTGACTGCAGACAGGGGTTGCAACTTGGTGTCACAGGTCACAGGCTGGAGCATTCTCATTGCCCTTTCTTGAGTCCCAGCTTATTGGTGCTAGGATCTGGAGTGAGGCCATGAGAGGAGTGGGAGAATTCAACTCTGCTTTCTGGGAAGTGATAAAGGGGGTGGGGGAAGACAAATTGGTGAAACCAGGGCTTGGGCAGAAACCATCAAGTCCAGCCTGCGATCTGAGCAGAGTCCAAAGGCTGAGCCTCCCTAGCATGATGAGCCCAGGTGTCCCAACAGTGGCCAGAGCTAAGCTTCTTCCTTTCCCTTCAACTGTTGGCTCTCGGTAAGAATGAGGAGTGGAGAGCCAACCTCAGGAGGCTTGGGGGCACCGTTCTCCCCGTAAGCCAACTCCAGAGAGGTTCCAGCACCTTAAGGCAACCTCAGGTCTGGCTGCATAGACTAGTGAAACCCAGGGTACTGCACATGCCCCATCACCTTGACTTTCTCAAGAGAAAGGTCCCTCCTTTTCCATATTACTGTGGACACTGCATTTCCAGGCTCCAGCTGGAGAAGATCTTGGGAAGCTGGAGATAAAACTGTAGACTTTGGATTCCTCCCTGCCTTCACATCAGATGAAGTGCTGTCAGTAGCCTGAGCCTGTGAGTCCTGTTCGCTGAACCCCAGCTGCATCCTAGGCCAGTCATCCCTGGCTCAGAAAGTATTCCCAGTGGCCCAACCCAGTCTACAGGCCACCTAGCCAAAGCACGTTGGGGCACCTATCACATATATATTTAAGATTTGTTTTTTCTTTGAAAGATTTACAGAGAGAAGGTAGGACAGACAGAGATCTGCCATCTGCTGGGTCACTCCCCAAATGGTCACTTCAGCCAGAGATGAGCTGATCTGAAGCCAGGATCCAGGAGCTTACTCTGGGTCTCCCACATGGGGAAAGGACCCAAGGACTTGGGCCATCTTGTGCTGCCTTTCCAGGCCATAATCAGGAAGCTGGATCAGAACTGGAGCAGTTGAGACTCAAACTGGCAGCCGGACAGCAGGCTGGCTCCAGAGGTCATGGCTTGGCCTCAAAGTCTTACCTCTGTTATCACCTCCTTCCAGTCTTTGTTTCATTGGTCCCATTGTGCCATTGACCTTTCCTCTCTGTGCCTCTAAGAGGTGTTGGCTAGCCCTGGAAGGGAGCAAGGCGGAATAGGGGACCAGTCATCTCTGCCTGGGGGAAAGCTAAATGGTGGCCATCACATATGGGTATGAGAGTGGAGAGAATGATGTGAGCAGCTCTGTGCTTCAAGGACAGCAGTGTGAAGCTCTGGCCAGGAATTTTCCTTTTTTTTATTTTTTTAAAAGATTTATTTTTATTTTTTTTATTGGAAAGGCGGATATACAGAGAGGAGAGACAGAGAGGAAGATCTTCCGTCCGATGATTCACTCCCCAAGTGAGCGCAACGGCCGATGCTATGTCGATCTGAAGCCAGGATCCAGGAACTTCTTCTGGTTCTCCCATGCGGGTGCAGGGTCCCAAGGCTTTGGGCCGTCCTTGACTGCTTTCCTGGGCCACAGGCAGGGAGCTGGATGGGAAGCGGGGCTGCCGGGATAGAACTAGTGCCCATATGGGATCCCGGGCATGCAAGGCGAGGACCTTAACCACTGCGCCACCGCGCCGGGCCCTGGCCAGGAGTTTTCAAGGAAGGCATCACAGAACCATGTGGCACAGCCACTGTCCCCTCCTGTTCTGGAAAGAGGCTGTGGTAAGCAGTACACAGGCTGCAGCACAGCCCGCTGTTAATGGGTGGTATGAAAATGACCATGCAGGAGGTGAAGGTCACTCGGAGTCAAGAGCAACAGTCGGGGAGTTCGGGAATTCTCCTTTTACTTCCGGATGCTGCTGCCCCTGACCAGCTGTTAGGAATGAGGAAAACCAAGATCTTAATCACTAGTCTGTGCTCACAGGTGGCCTCACAGCTAGCTCCCCAGCACTGCCTCGTGTCAAATATATGCTCAGAACTTCCCCACAGGCCCCAGACTTCAATGAACATCCACATCAACCCCAGAAGCCTGCTGGGCTCCTCCACATTGTGGAATGGAACCTGGGAATTTACATTTTGCTAAAATTCCAAAAGGATACTGATGCTGCTGGCTCAGTGTCACGCCACAAAAATCCACTGACCTGTATGGGGAGGATACCACAGATGATAATCACACAAGTCTTACTCAACTGAATCCAGCTCAGATGCGGTTTGAACTTGCCCCTCGGTACCATGTTCAATCACCCTCCCTAAACCTCAGTTCTCTTATCTTTATGAGCAGTCGTCTTTATTGTGTCTAGCTTGTGGTGAGTATTTACTCCTCTGCAGATTGCCATAGTGCTGTGTATCTTATTAATTATAATACATCACAACTTCCTTTGTGACACAGGGCACAGCTTAGTACTATATTTGGACAGAAATGAGTTCAAGACGGAGGATCTGTAAAAGAGAAAGGAAGAGGGGTACCTGACCCAAGATACCCTCTTTTGACCTCAGAGCCGTCACTCTTTGGGCACTGACTTGAAGGAACTTGAAGGAATCACTCACTCTGTCTCTGGAGACTCCTTCCAAGGTCACTCCCGGCTCAGACCTTGATGGCTTATGCTTCATTTGCATAAGGCTACCCTTCTCCTTCCTAGGAAATTTGAACTGAAATTCCACCAGCAGCCAGGCAGGTAGCACAAACAAGCCATGCTGGCTACAGAGCAGGATAACTGGGCAGCACATGCCCCATCTGAAAAGCGCAGCTGTGGGAGCCAGGAACCAGATAGCTACATCTTCTGGAAAATCTAGAAGTCTAGACATTTATGTAAGATCTACTTATTTTTTCAATATTGGTGATTCATAAGGGAAAAAAAAAAAGCTTAACACACAATAGGCCCAACATGTCAGCATGATTAGTCCAACTGTTGGCAACCTCTTCTCTAGAAACACTTGGAAAATGATGTGGTTCCTTGTCCAGATTCATAATCAGGCAGGCATCTTGTCCCTTTTGGGCCCAGTCCCTGCTGGGACCAGGATCCACCCAGTGCTGCCCTTCAATAAAAGCATCTGATGAGCACGGCATGTAGCCTGGACTTGGGCACAAAGCAGACTGCATACACACCATCGAAAGTGTGCCTAGGTAGGAGGCATGGGTGATAACACAGGCACAGAGGTGAAAGAACAGGTTCTGGAAGGCAGAGAAGCTATCGGTGTTGGCCTTGTGTGGCAAACCCTAGAAGGGACAGTTGAGATAAAGCAAACCTGTGTGCCCTGTGAGGCCAGTGGGGTGGAGGGGGCATGCCCTAAGACAGTAGAGTCCACAAGAGGTCACTGCTGTTCTGTGTGGGTACAAGGGGCACACAAGACAGGAAGCTGCTGGGGCTCAAACCCAGGCTGTATCCCACCACTCAAATGTTCTCAGCATCCACTGACATTTGCCTTTTTATCTTCATATGGTCCTGTAGACTTCTTTTATCCCCTCTGGCCACTCCCCCTCTTGTCCCTCTCCATCTTAGAGCCCCTAAACGTCTGCCCCTCTCTTTCTAGATCCCATTGATTCCTCGGGGCTGGAAAACTTCTCTCTAAGAGGGGGAACAAACATCATAACAAACATAATAATCAGTGGTACAGCATGTTGCAAAGTGATTGGTGCTTTGGAAATAAAATAAGGCAAGGAAGGGGAATTACAAGTGCTGGGGTGAAGGAAGTCGTAGACATGTTAAGTTATCCTTTTTTAAAAAAAAAGATTTATTTTAACTGCAAAGGCAGATTTACAGAGAGAAAGAACTTCCCTTGGTCTTTTTGAAGAACAGTGAGCGTGGCTGGAGCAGGGAGCAAGTGGATGAGTTAGTTAGATGCAGTTGGCAAGGCCTTGATGAGAAAATTTCCACCTCCACAGCATCTCCTATAGCTGCTCTCTGCTCTCAGTGGGTGAAGCAGCTTAGTTCGTGTTTCATTCCTTTCTGCTTTGATTTCAGGCACAGTCCCTTTGTCGCTTGGGCCACCCTTTTCCATCTGGTGTATCTTTCTAAAGCCCTACGTCTTTCTGGCACTGGACTCAATGGTTTTCTCACCTTTTCCCAACGAATTACAACACTTTGGCATTCAGTGCATGCCTCCCCCAAACCCCTCCCCCCCCCCAGTGTGGTCTTGACTTGTTTATCAACTTTCTCTTCCCCTTCACATCCCTTCAGTAGTCACTAACCAGGAATGTACCTATAGTTCTTTCTACTGGAAATAGAGGTAAGACTGCTCTTGAATTCAGAGATTCCAAGTGCAAGAGTCAGTATGCCAGCTCTAGGCTATGGCGCTAAAGGCAAATAATTTCACTTTGACTGGTGGCATTAGTTTTGCTGTACCTAAAAGGAGGTTCAGAGAGACATGTGATGCTAAGTAATCACTTAGCTATGTTTTTGTTTATTGTAAATAGTTATCATGCTACCCAGGCAACATTAAGGCTTCCTCAAATAAATTTAATGGCTTCCTCAAATCTCATTAGAAATACTCAAATATGTCTATACCATGAAACTATCCCTGACATTTCCAGCAAGATCTAATCTCACTCCTCTGAGTTGTCATCACCTTTTATTTTCTTTTCATTTGAAAGGCAGAGTTACAGAAAAAAAAAGAGAATGAATGAGAGCGAGAGAAAAATCACCTATCTACTGGTTCACTTCCCAAATGGTTGCAATGGCCAGTGCTGAATTGATCCAAAGCCAGGAGCTTCTTCCAGTCTCCCATGTGGGAGCAGACCCCCAAGAATCTGAGTCATCAAAACTGCTGTTTTCTCAGGCCATTAGCTGTGAGCTGGATCAGAAGTGGAGCAGCCAGGACTCCAACTCCAAATAGTGCCCATATGAGAAGCAACACGTAGGCAGAAATTTAGACTACCATGCCATGACATCAGCCCCTCATTGTCTTCTTTTATATATATATATATTTTTTTTT